ATACATTGTGTGCTATATTTGCACAAAAATAATATCATTCATAGAGACCTCAAACCGGATAATGTGTTGATTACATACGACGGGTATATAAAGTTATGTGACTTTGGTTTGGCTAAAGAGGTCGATAATATTGATTGGTATCGTATGTCTAAAACTAAACATACGGCAGACGTAGGAACTATAGAATATATGGCACCGGAAGCCCAGACTAATGATTACAATCATAAGATAGATATCTACAGTCTATCCCTAATTGGGGCTCAAATATTTGGTTTTAATATCAACGATATAATGGACGGAAAGTATGATTTTTAATAACTATTTTCTTAAATACAGTTTACATTAATCGCACGAATTTTTTAAAAATTTTAATTTTATGATTAATTTAATTGAAAAATCAAATAAACCTATTAATGAGTGGATGCATAAAATGAATGCATTATTGGTGTCAATGGCTGTCAATAAGTATCGCAAAAAGGGTTCAACAGATTGGAGGCAAAGACCCAAATGTTCGCACATTTTATCAAAATTGAAGACATTTATCAAACATCCGCCCACTATTGGAGTCAAAGAATTCAAATTATATTTTGATACTATTGTCGAACGACAAGGTCATGTATTTTACAATTTCCTCATGCACAATCATCCCATTTTTATAATACGAATGCCTATTGAAAATATATATAACGGTTAGACATGTCTATCATTTTATTATTAAACTTGAATATTTTAATTACAATATTATATTTGTATAATTGCTTAGAAATGGATGCAATAAATGACATGAAGTTTAAAGAGATTGACGAACAGACTGCAGAAATAGGATATGATATAAATTCCGTGGAAAATATAAATTCACAAAAAATATATTCACTTTTACAAATATATATTCATTACATGGGTTAGTATTACTTTCAATAATTTATTTAAAAACAATATTTATAATTATTTCACTATAATAGACGATATGATGAAAATGCATGAACTAGTCGTTGACATCAGAAAGTTAATTGATGTGAACTTGGTGCAATATTACTGGGCATGGATTGAGCATGAAAGTGTATTCATTCAAATGGAGCATTTGTGTCAGGATAAACTAGACACGTTTATTTCCGAAAACAATACTAATCTCAAAAATATGACAAAACTCAAACAACAAAACCTAGTATATTCAACTTTTAAATCACATTTCTGTGTAAATTGAGCAGGAACAAATGTAATTACAGTCAGTTATTAATAAATTTAATGTCAATATGATGTTTTTATTTTGTTTATTTATTAATAACAATACTTTCTTAAGATTATAAAATATAAACTTTTAATAAACAATAGCTTAGAAGGAATTTCTCGATACGGAAAGCTGGCAATGCTAGTTTAATTTGTATGGGTATAAACTTAATTATATCATTAGTAAATGTGCATTCTCAAAAAGTGCGATTCCCGGCGACACGTTGGTCATTTTAGGGTCAGTAAGTTGGCTGACATGGTCATTTTTGTATGAATTAACGTTATTTGAATAGATGGTATGTACTAAAAGTTTTAACGGTAATCAACCGTATTGAGCGCACTAAATGTGCGGCAAATTTTTCCGGTAAATGTATATCTATAATGTAGTAAAATACTGTGCTATTCAAAAATGACCATGTCATCCACCTTACTGACCTTAAAATGACCAACTTATCGCCGGAAATCGCACTTTTTGACCATTCACATTTATTAATGACATAATTAAGTTTATACCCATACAAATTAAACTAACATTGTCAGCTTTCCTTATCGAGAAATTCCTTCGTAGTAATAATCATGTCATTTGTTTTGAAATATCAAAAGTCAAGAATGTGTTGGAATTAATTTGCAATAATCTGGATTAACTGGATAAGTATTAAACTCATTATTTACCCCAAGCATATTGCATAATTAACCAACATAATTACCTTTATAATTTAAAAATTACAGTTTAAACATATCTTGTAATATAAAACTAACCATGTGACATTAAAAATATAATTATTGTAATTGAAAATCTATAACGTGAATAAATACATTGAATAGTGTATCATAATTTTAAGTTTTAAAGTATAAAACTTTATAATTAATTTTATTTTTACCTAATGTTGCATAATACTGTAGTGCTAATTATGTTATGTATAAATTATAAATTAATTAATAAATTTATAAATTAATAAACTTTATAAGCTTTATAAATTAATTGGTAGTAAAATACAGGTTATTCACAAAGCTTTATAAAATATATAAACACAAATTAAATAATTAATTTCATTTAAATAATTATGTCACTTGTTTGACTCGATATAATTTCAATGAGTTTTATAAATGTATATATTATTATTAGTTAGTTAACTAAATTTACAAAATTTCAAATATTATTTTCATTTTAGAAATTATTTTTAATTAAACTTTTAATATTATTCGTACTTATATAATAATTTAAGATTATTATTGTTTTTGTAAATTAAACTTCAATATTTGTACAGTACTTCCAAATATTATAAATAAAATGTCTACCATGTTAAATTATTATGAAAATTGTGATAAACTTTTAGAGAATATACAACAAGAATATAAAATTAAATTACTTCATATGTTTGACGACCATATCGGACATAACATACTGTTTGTGACATTTGATGATTGCGTGTATGGATTGGGATCTAATAGTGAGGGTCAGCTCGGGTTAGGACACAACAAACCCGTCGAAAAACCGGTAGAAGTGTCACAATTATGCCATAAAAACATACATCAGTTTATCAATGGGTGGGACTTTGTATTGGCTGTCAATACGGATAATAATGTGATATTCAGTTTTGGTTGCAATGATTGGGGACAACTGGGACGGGATGTGGATAGGGATGGCTATCATTATCATAAACCAGATACAGTTATCGTGTCCACAATTGGCTTAATTATATCACAGATAAGTTGTGGTAAACAACACACAATTGTGTTGACAACATGTGGCCAGTTATTGGGATGGGGTTTTAATAGGCTTCAACAAATTGATTGTGACCAAGCTAGATTTCATTTACGCTCGCATTGTATTGCAATACCCTTTGAATACAAAATTAGTAAAATTATGTGCTCTAATGGGGCATCAGTTGCCATTGGCTGCGATGGACAGGTAGTTATGTGGGGAATGGTATGCGATAAAAAATTGAATGGACCAAGATTATTGGAAAATGTAACTAATATACATGGTGTTTATTTAGATGAGCACATTGACTATAATACGATATATTTGCTATCAATTCATAATATTATATATATTTATAATCTTGAAAATAAATGTATGAAAAAATTAACGGATATTATGTTCAGTGAAGTCAAAGAAATATTTTCATTTAAAAATTGCAAATCAAAGGTACTGGCTAAATCGGGTGATAAAATATATGAATTGTATCAGGAACAACTATTGGAAACTAATTATACATCATTTAATGAACTCACTTCATATGAATTACATATGATTTTCAATACAATTTCAACGCATAATCCACGCAATACTGGTCAACACGTATTGAATGAAAGCGCAGATATTTGCCGTAAATTTTGAATTTATGTTTTTTTAACAAAAAATAACTTTTAATATATTCATAGAAACAAACAACATATCAAATAATTTCACGTTTGAAAATTCATTTGATGTGATAACTAAGCTTGGTGAGGGTGGCTATGGACAGGTGTATAAAGTTCAAAACAAATGCGATGAACAATATTATGCACTAAAGATATGTCCACTAGAAGGTATGCAATTAATTAGTTTATTATATAAAGTTATAATAATAACTATTTTAAAGGATTGACAGAAAAAGAGAAACAAAATGTTTTGAAAGAAACGCAAAGTCTTGTGAAACTTCGGTCAGAGTTTGTCATTGAATACAACTATTCATGAATTGAATGCAATTGTCTTTACATTCAAATGGAGTTATGTATCGATAATCTCAACAATGTTTTGGAAACTAAGAAAACATTGTTTAATGAATTGATGACTATTTCGGAGTTTTATATATCGTATCAAATATTTCGTGAACTCACAGAATGTGTACAATATTTGCACGAAAAGCATATCATTCATAGAGACCTCAAACCGGATAATGTGTTGATTACAGACGACGGGTATATAAAGTTATGTGACTTTGGTTTGGCTAAAGAGGTCGATAGTATTGATTGGTATCGGATGTCTAAAACCAATCATACAGGAGATGTTGGGACCCCCTGTATATATCAAGCACCGGAAGCACAGACTAATGATTACAATCATAAGATAGATATCTACAGTCTATCCCTAATTGGGGCTCAAATTTTTGGTTTTGATATCAACGATATAATGGACGGAAAGTATGCTTTTTAATAACTATTTTCTTGAATACAGTTTACTTTAATCGCACGAAATTTTTTAAAATCTTAATTTTAGGATTAATTTAATTGAAAAATCAAATAAACCTATTAATGAGTGGATGCATAAAATGAATGCATTATTGGTGTCAATGGCTGTCAATAAGTATCGCAAAAACGGTTCAACAGATTGGAGGCAAAGACCCAAATGTTCGCACATTTTATCAAAATTGAAGACATTTATCAAACATCCGCTCACTATTGGAGTCAAAGAATTCAAATTATATTTTGATACTATTGTCGAACGACAAGGTCATATATTTTACAATTTCCTCATGGTCAATCATCCCATTTTTATAATACGAATGCCTATTGAAAACATATCTAACGGTTAGACATGTCTATTAATTTATTATTATGTTTGATTATTTTAATTACATTTTTATATTTGTATAATTGCTTAGAAATGGATGTAATAAATGACATGAAGTTTAAAGAGATTGACAGTCAGACTGCAGAAATAGGATATGATATATATTCCGTGGAAAATATAAATTCACAAAAAATGTATTCACTTTTACACCTTTATATTCATTTCATGGGTTAGTATTACTTTCAATAATTTATTTAAAAACACAAAATATTTTGCCATTCAAGTAGTTTTGACAATATTTATAAATTATTTCACTATAATAGACGATATGATGAAAATGCATGAACTTGTCGTTGACATCCGAAAGTTACTTGATGCGAACTTGGTGCAATATTACTGGGCATGGATTGAGCATGAAAGTGTATTCATTCAAATGGAGCATTTGTGTCAGGATAAACTAGACACATTTATTTCCGAAAACAATACTAATCTCAAAAACATGACAAAACTCGAGCAACAAAACCTAGTATATTCAACTTTTAAATCACATTTCTGTGTAAATTGACCAGGAACAAATGTAATTACAGTCAGTTATTAATAAATTGAATGTCAATATGATGTTTTTATTTTGTTTATTTATTAATAACAATACTTTCTCAAGATTATCAAATATACGGTATAAACTTTTAATAAACAATAGCTTAGAAGGAATTTCTCGATACGGAAAGCTGGCAATGCTAGTTTAATTTGTATGGGTATAAACTTAATTATATCATTAGTAAATGTGCATTGTCAAAAAGTGCGATTCCCGGCGATACGTTGGTCATTTTAGGGTCAGTAAGTTGGGTGACATGGTCATTTTTGTATGAATTAACGTTATTTGAATATACGGTATGGACTAAAAGTTTTAACGGTACTCAACCGTATTGAGCGCACTAAATGTGCGGCAAATTTTTCCGGTAAATGTATATCTATAATGTAGTAATATACTGTGCTATTCAAAAATGACCATGTCATCCACCTTACTGACCTTAAAATGACCAACTTATCGCCGGGAATCGCACTTTTTAACCATTCACATTTATTAATGACATAATTAAGTTTATACCCATACAAATTAAACTAACATTGTCAGCTTTCCGTATCGAGAAATTCCTTCGTAATAATAATCATGTCATTTGTTTTGAAATATCAAAAGTCAAGAATGTGTTGGAATTAATTTCTGCTAATTTAGTGCTAATTATGTTATGTATAAATTATTAATTAATTAATAAATTTATAAATTAATAAACTTTATAAGCTTTATAAATTAATTGGTAGTAAAATACAGGTTATTCACAAAGCCTTATAAAATATATAAACACAAATTAAATAATTAATCTCATTTAAATAACCATGTCACTTGTTTGACTCAATATAATTTCAATGAGTTTTATAAATGTATATATTGTTATTAGTTAGTTAGTTAACTAAATTTACAAAATTTCAAATATTATTTTCATTTTAGAAATTATTTTTAATTAAACTTTTAATATTATTCGTACTTATATAATAATTTAAGATTATTATTGTTTTTGTAAATTAAACTTCAATATTTGTACAGTACTTCCAAATTTGAAGTTCAAATCATCCAAGGTCATTCAATTTACTAGTTTATAAATATGACTATAAAGCTGATCAAGAGTAGTTTACTATGAAAAATTGAAACACTTAATTTTAAGTTTGTATTAATTTATATAACAGCAATATTACTGAATACGTAACAGACATGTATGAAACATTTAATGTAACATTTATTTTAATGTAGTGAAACATTGCTCATAATTTTCTAGTATTAATATAAACTAAAATGAAATCTAAACTTTGTAATATGAGCATTTATGTTTCACTAAATACTGAGTTGGCATATGTTTGGGCGTCAGGTTTGGTTTCAAATATTTATATAAAGTTGCCCCCCTTAACCTTTCGATACATAGTAATTTTACATGAGACCATGCACAATTGTATGCCCCCTCCCCATGTCTGTGCGCTAGTATTTTGTGAATTGCTCCTAATTTCTGTTTCCTGTTTTCGTTAAACAAGTTTATAATATAAATAAATTTAGTATAAACAGTGATAAAATGTATTACCAGTATCCTTCACTATCTCGTACTCCCCTCACTCGCACCCTCGTTCTCTCTCTCTCTCTCTCTCTCTCTCTCTCCGCACACTTTATCTGCACAACGAGTGACGCAATGAATGAACGAACGAACTCTACGTATAAACCTATGAATAGTTTGAACAAAAATGTGTAAACATTTGATCACCTCTGAAGGACTGACATATGTTTAATATGTTATGAAATATTACAATATTATTTATAAATACTGTGTTTAAGTCACATTTGTGTGTCATTTATGAAATAACTCATTTAAGTGTTCAAATATATGACTTGTTATTTTGAAATAGCGTACAATTTTGGACATAAAACTTCATGTTTTGTTAGTAATACATTGCGTTTGAAACATTTCTAATAAATAGTTGGTCAAGCTTATTTTGTAAATATTGTAATTTTTAAAAATGTCGCTCGTTTTAAATAATTATAAAATTTGTGATAAAATACCCGAAGATTTAAAAAAAGAAATAAAATATTTTTATGTTTTCTGTGACCCTTTCGGAAATAACATACTGTTTGTGACATTTGATGATATGGTGTATGGATTGGGATCTAATAGTGTGGGTCAGCTCGGGTTAGGACACGACACACCCATTCATACACCACAACCAGTGCCACAATTATGCCATCAAAATATACATCAGTTTTTCAATGGCCATGACTTTGTATTGGCTGTCAGTACGGATAATGTGATATTCAGTTTTGGTCGCAACAATAGGGGACAATTGGGACGTAATGTGGACAGTATACTACGTACTGTATTAAGTTATATCATTAAAATCTCGCCGCCTGCGGATTTATATCATAAGCCTGGTACTATTTCATTCTTCCAATCAAATGAATTAAATATTCAACAAATAAGTTGTGGTTTTGATCACATAATTGTGTTGACAACTAATGGACGGCTATTTGGATGGGGTCACACTAAAGGATGGCAAATTGGTGGTGGCAATAGTGGTTACATCTTAACGCCAATTCCTATTGAATTTGATTCTCACTATAAAATTAGTCAAATAGTGTGCAATAAATGGATGTCACATGCTGCCATTACCAGTGATGGACAGGTGTTTATGTGGGGAGACATGGGGTCTACCACTTCACAACCACCCCAACTATTGGACAATGTATTCAATATACACAGTGTTTGTTTAGATGTGAGTGGATTAAATTACTTGCTATCAAACGATGGATTCATATATTCATATGATTTTCGCGACAAAAGTATGAATAGATTATCACATATTGTGTTCAATGAAATCAAACAAATCGATACATATAACTATTTTAAACCAAAAATTATGGGCAAATCTCATATAATATATGAAATTATTGATAAACAACTCATTGAAACAAAATATACATCATTTGATGATTACTTTTCACATGAATTGCAAATGACTTTCAATACAATATCAACACATAATCAACAAAATACTGTCCAAGATCAATTAAATGAAAACACTGACATATGCGGTAAATAAGGAATTCAACTTTTAGTATTTATTATATTCATAGAAATAAACATATACAGTAGTAATATTAATTATATAGTATTGTACAATAATCTTTACGATATAAACTTCTCACTACTTAGAAAATGTAATGTTTGACGAGTCATTTGATGTATTAAATAAGCTTGGTGAGGGTGGTTATGGACAGGTATATAAAGTTCAAAATAGATGTAACAAACAGTCATATGCAATTAAGAAATGTCCACTATATGGTAATTAATTTATTTTATATATGATATACAAATTATAGAGTAATTGTTTTTTAAGGATTGACAGAAAAAGAGAAACAAAATGTTTTGAATGAAACGCAAAGTCTTTTGAAACTTCGGTCAAAGTTTGTCATTCAATACTACTATTCATGGATTGATGAGAATGACAATTGTCTTAACATTCAAATGGAGTTATGTTCTGATAATTTGACAAATGTTTTGGAAACTAAGAAATCATTGTTTAATGAATTGATGACTATTTCTGAGTTTTATACATCGTTTCAAATGTTTTATAGACTCACAGAATGTGTGCAATATTTGCACGAAAATCATATCATTCATAGAGACCTCAAACCGGATAATGTGTTGATTACATACGACGGGTATATAAAGTTATGTGACTTTGGTTTGGCTAAAGAGGTCGATAATATTGATTGGTATCGTATGTCCAAAACTAAACATACGGCAGATGTGGGAACTATTGACTATATGGCACCGGAAGTAAATTCATATCCAATTGATTACAATCATAAGATAGATATCTACAGTCTATCCCTAATTGGGGCTCAAATTTTTGGTTTTGAAATCAACGATATAATGGACGGAAAGTATGATTTTTTAATAACTATTTTCTTGAATATAGTTTATTTTAATCACACCAATAATTATATATTTTAATTTTAGGATTAATTTCAAAGAGAAATCAAATAGAAATATAAATGAATGGATGCATAAAATGAATGCATTATTGGTGTCAATGGCTGTCAATGAATATTCACGAAATGGTTCAACAGATTGGAGGCAAAGACCCGAATGTTCGCACATTTTATCACAATTGCAGACATTTATGACAAATAAACCCATTATTGGAGACAAAGAATTCAATTCACTATTTGATGCTATGATTGTCAGAAAACTCAATTCACTATTGGATGCTATGATTGACACAAAATTCAATTCACTATTGGATGCTATGATTGACAGAAAATGTGACATCTTATATAAAATACTAATGCGAAGCAAACCTTATTGTATAATCCGGATGTCTAATGAAAACATAACTGACGGTTAGACTTTTTAATAGCAACAGTATATTATATTAAGTTTTAATTGCCCGAAAATTTTTGAAATTTTCAGATAAATCACAAATGAACGCAATAAATGAGTCGATGTTTGAAACAATTGGCCAACAAATTGATAAGTTATGTTATAAAATATATTCCGTGAGACATAAACTGACTCAACAAACGTATTCATTATTCAAAATGAAAATTAAATATGCGGGTAAGAAATAACTAACCAGATTATAGTAAAATGCCACACATTTAAATATGAAATATATTTTATTAAACTTGAAAAATACTGTGCATGTTCAATCATTTATAATAGATTTGATGGAAACGAATGAATTCTTAAAGGATATCCGGAAATCATTTGATGTCAAGTCGGAACATGTGGTCAAATATTACTCATCATGGATTGAACATGGTCATCTATTCATTCAAATGCAATTATGCTCACAAAAGGATCTGAATATATTTTTGTTAGCAAAACAATCATTTAAACTTTTAAATAGTGATGAAAAGCTCAGAACTCGAAACCTGCTCGAGAAGTTTTTTAATCAGCTCGAGTCGCTTCACAAAAATACAGACAAAGGACATAATAATTAATAATAATTGAGTCGTTATTACAGATAATGTGATAATTATATACAAAAATGTGAAGTTAGACAATAATTGTAACCAAAAGTTAAGTAATTCGTGAAGCGATCGAAAATACAATTCAATTAAAGGACAAACTCTCGAAACTTGTGTTTCTCGAGCTGCCGATCGCCACAACTTATGGCACAAAAACTACTCGTAATCTCGATTTCAAACTTTTGACATAAGGCCCGAACGAGACATTTCGTCGCCCTTTTATAGCCCTCTTCTAACTCCACCTCTATTTCTGGTCTCATTTTGTCTGTCAATGACTTTCCGATGACTTCATAATTAAAAACTATTTAAACATAACTTTCGGTCAAAAAAAACTATGAATACGAGTCATCGATAGATCAAATAAATATTCAATAATTGTCTAAAGATTGAACTAAACTAATAATTATTTTCATCTAAAATTAATAATAACAATAAAATTTTGAAAAGTACGTTATATATAATATAAGTTAGTTTTTTGCTATTGACCCTGTGCATCAAATCCAAAAATCAAAACTTTAAAATGTTTAATACTTTTTTAAGTAATTTAAGATTTTCAAAAACTACCGTTCCCTACCGTTCCTTTTGAGTTTGACTAAAATTTGGAATATCGACCTTATCGTGCCAAAAAACAATAGTTGCAAAAAATTTTGTTTTAATCTAGCTCTATAAATTTAACACAATGACTTACCTGTATTTTGGCGATACTTTTATATAATGTCATATTATAATAATTAAATACAATTTAATATATTAATGTATATGTTATATCAATAAATGTATTTAATATATGAATGAGAACAGGGTCATTTAACTTTTAACTTGGTTAACATCACTAATGAAATGTAGTTTATTCTTAAAAATAAAAATATACTAATAAAAGTATATATTATTAATAATTAGTTTTAAACTTTTAAACTAATACTGTATTACACAAACAGATGGCAACTCATAGACCACACAAGCATTGCTTCATTCATGACATGCACTCAACCCTTATTGACACAAACAGTGCGAACGCAATGCAAATCGTGAACAACACTCGCATACAAACTGTTCACTAGTATTGCATTGACTGCCATAAGAGCGCTATATTTGAG